GTGGCACGTATGAGTCCCTCTCCCCAGCAAGTAAATACTGTAACATTTTTAAGGAACTTTACGTTCTCAGACTACAGAATAGCAATCTGTGCTCTTACAATGACTCCAGATTATAAAAACTGACATTAAAAGGAAAAAATACAGAGATCACTAGGCTTGCAAGCTTAACTGTATTTACTGTGCTTGCTGCAAAGCACGGTAAGCTGGATGTGGCCACAGTAAAAGAAGGGTACGACAGTGTATGTGCAAAGGGGCCTCCTTGAGGCTGGGCAGTTGAGCATCCAGGATTAGGGCGGAGGCTGGGAGAGTCAGGGTCATTCTTTAGTTTGAGTGGGTAGGGCGAGCCTGGTTCCAAGAGGTCATAGCAGACCCAAGAATGGGCTGGACTAGGACAAGGGTGCTGAGGTAGGAACTACTGAGCCAGACCCGAATAGGCCGGGACCGGATCGCAAGCGGCGGAAGGCAGGCTTCGCCGGGTGAGAAGAGCCCAGACCTGGACTGTGACTTTGGGTCCCTTCTTCTTATCGTTGGCCACGGAGGGTCCCGGCAGCAAAAGGAAGACGACGGAGCCCACGATGAGAGCGGCGGCGAAGAGAACCTTCATGTTGCGCTCCGAAAGGCGCAGCATTCACCAGCAGCAGCGAGAGCGGTCGCGGGAGCCCGGACCGGAAAAGGGTGTGGACTCGCGGTGTGCGCGCGTTGCCGCCCGGGCGCGGGGGTGGACCTGGGCCTCCGGGAGGCCTCGCTGCGTGAGGAGCGGGCCACGAACCCCCTGCGCCGCCACCTCGAGTGGTAGGAGCCGCCGCGGGCGGGGCTGCGGGTGTCTGCCACGTTACAACCCTCCGATTGGTTGTGCCTCGCCCCTCCGGCTGCGTCAAGGCCATGTGCGGAAGGCGGCGTTGAGATTGGTCTTAGAAAAAAAGACTACGAAGCCCAGCATACCTTGCGGCCTGTCAGGGTGTGTAAAGCTCAGTCACTACCCAATTTGGGGGTCATCTTCAAAAACTGGACACATTTAACTGAAATGTTAGGGGCTGAATATAGCGACTGAGTTTTACAGCATAGCCTTCTATATCTTCTATAATATTTATCTTGCCTGGGGACCGAGAGTAGAGGCTCGCGCCTTTGATCCCAGCATTGGGCACGGTTAACTAGGAACCTAGATCAGCCTGAGCTAAGAAAGTGAGTCCCAGATCCTTTTAGGCAAGAATAAGACCTTGCCTCAAAACAAACATGACTGGTCGTCGTAGCGCGAGCCTTCAATCCCAGTGCCTGCGAGGAAGACGCAGATGTATTTCTGTGAATTTGAGGCCAGTTTCTACGTAGTGAGTTCAGTGCTAGCAAGAACTACGTGGAAACAACTATGCCTCAAAAGAAGGGATTGGGGGGTGAAGAAGCGGTGTAGGGTAAAAGGTCCAGCCAAAGAAACCCATCCTGGTTCTGAAGCCAGAGCCAGTGAAAGAAACCCACCCTGGTTCTGAGACCCGAGCCAGTGAAAGAAATGCTTTAGCCTCAACCCAGACCCAAAGAAATGCACCCTAACTCTAAAAACCAGTGCCAAAGAAACATGCATTGTTCCTAGAGTCAGAATCGGTGAAAGAAATATGCCCTGGCCCCCAAACTAGAGCCAAAAGGCTTAAAAAGGCCAGTGAAAGAAACAGTTTGGTTCTGAGATCAGACATCTCTGCCCTGACCAACTAAATTAACCAATCCCTGAGCAAGGAAAACTAATCAATCCTCCTTAGGCCTGGGAAAATTCCACCCCTAAGAAGCCCTAATATAAGCCCTGCACCTGTTCAGTTGGTGGTTCTTCTTCCACAATGGTAGATGCAGTCACTCTCCCAGATTCTTCCCTCCCAACAAATCTGTTGAACAAAGTTTGGGTGAAGACCTTTTTTCACCTGAGCATAGACGCCATGGGACTTTGGCTGGGGAAGTCTTCCCCTAGCAGCACTTGTTACGACTTAGCCAGAAAAGTCAGAAGAGGAGTGGAGCAGGGCTGTAACTCTTGTGCGAGGGAAGCCTTCCATTAGCAGAACTAATGTAACAACTTTGCTGGGGAAGCCTTCTCCTGCTGGAGCAGAACTGTCACTTTGTGGAAACCTTCTCTAGATCAGGGATGTAAGCTGCTACCCTTACCATGGCCTGCACTCACCCACACGAGCTGTAACACTCAGTATCCCCTGGCTCCTGACTGCCAGAATCCCTTTCCTTCTGAGCTGTGCCACCCTCCGGTGGCTCGGAATGTGTGCACTTTTGCTGCAAAATCATGAGGACCAGAATGTGGATCCAACAGCTACCTAAAAGCAGATCATGGATGTACTTTAAGGCTCTAACCCTAGTGCCACTGTAGGAGTGGTGGGCATAGATAGGAGGACCTGGTATATTTGCTGGCTGTTAGACTAGTTCTTTTTTTTTAAGATTTATTTATTTATTTATTATGTATACAACATTCTGCTCCATGTATGTCCGCATGCCAGAAGAGATTACAGATGGTTGTGCGCCACCATGTGGTTGCTGGGAATTGAACTCAGGACCTCTGGAAGATAGCCAGTGCTCTTAACCACTGAGCCATCTCTCCAGCCCCTAGACTAGTTCTTAGATTCAGGGAGAGACCAGGTCTCAAAAAGAAGGTGAAGATCAGGGCAGTGGTGGGGCATGCCTTGGCAGAGGCAGGTGGTTCCATGTGAATTTGAGGCTGGCACAGTATACAGAGTGAGTTCAAGGACAGTCAAGGCTACACAGAGAAATTGTCTCAAAAAAAAAAAAGGAAGAAAGAAAGAAAGGAAGGAAGAAAGGAAGGAAGGAAGAAAAAGAGAGGGTGGAGAATGCTGAGAGCAGTGCACTCGACATCTTTCTTTGGCCTCGGCGCGCGCGCACACACACACACACACACACACACACACAATTCCATTTTTATTTTTCCATTCCACTATTAATTTTTCTCTTTGAAACCTGTGCTTAACCACTGCGTGTACATATGAACACATTCTATTGAATACTTGGGCATTTTTCTCCTTTTTTTATGTGTGTGTGATTATGTTTGAGTAGGTGGACATGCGAGAGTATGCATGTGGAGGGAGTGGATTCCTTATATCACATGGTTTTTGTAGTCTGAAGTCAGGTACTCAGGGTTTGAAGCAGGCAAATTTACTTAAACTGAGCTACCTGCCAGCACCTGATATTTTATTTCTTTTTTCCCCACTTTCTTTTTTCTCTTCTTCTTCTTCTTCTTCTTCTTCTTCTTCTTCTCCTTCTTCTTCTTGGTTTTCGAGACAGAGTTTCTCTGTAGCTTTAGAGCCTGTCCTGGAACTAGCTCTTATAGATCAGGCTGGCCCAGAACTCACAGAGATCCGTCTGCCTCTGCCTCCTGACTGCTGGGTAAAGGCATGTGCTACCACTGCCCAGCATTCCCACTTTCTAAAGCAGACCACTTTTTTTAGAAGGATGCAACACTGTTGCACATCTGTATGTAGCTTCCGAAGCCTTCTCCAGGGCTCTGTGCCCAAGAAGTATTAGATGAGCTGGCTCTAAATAATTTATGCATTAATACATTAATACACACACACATATACATATATGTAAAGTGTAGCACGAATAATAAAAATGCAGAACTGTGGGGCTGGAGAGATGGCTCAGAGGTTAAGAGCACTACCTGCTCTTCCAAAAGTCCTGAGTTCAATTCCCAGCAACCACAAGGTGGCTCATAACCATCTGTAATGGGGTCTAGCGGTCTGGTGCCCTCTTCTGGTCTGCAGGCGTACACTCAGACAGAATATTGTATGCATAATAAATAAATATTTTAAAAAATGCAGAAGCGTGGGGCTGGAAAGATGGCTCAAAGGTTAAGAGCACTGGCTGCTCTTCCAGAGGTCCTGAGTTCAATTCCCAGCAATAATATAGTGGCTCACAACGATCTATGAGATCTCGTGCACTCTTCTGTTATGTAGGCATACATGCAGGAGGAACAATGCATACATAATAAGTAGTAAATAAATCTTTTTCTCAAATTGATGATGACATTGAGAATTGATTTAATACAGCCACTAATGTAATATGTTAACAACAAAAATCTAAGCAATTACAAGAAAAAAACAAGGGTTATATGCAGCAAACACTCATTGATCAACTATACAACTTAACATCACTCCAGAAAAAAAATTTGACATAAAAGTTCTTACAATTTTGGGGGTTTGCAAACCTTGTGGCATAGATTACCAAAGAAAATAAAAAACAGATTTCAAAATATTTTAATAAAATTTCTTAATAAAATACTCGGCTCAAGTTAAATGTCAAGCTGGCCCTAATCTGTCAAAACAGACAGATAAATATTTATAATGATGGACAGACTTAGTTACAAAGGTACTTAAATGTCTACTTCCTTCTTTCAAAACCGTTTCTTAAGGGTTAAATTTTTCAATGCAAATGTGTCTTCTGTAAAAACTGTGAGAATGAAACTTGGAGACAAAGAGAGACTCAAGACAGAGATGGAAACTAAGACTTAAGTCAAAATTTGGGTCTGGCTTTAATGATCTTTTAGAAACTAACTTTTTGTGACAGGTAGGGCATTCTTTGTTGCCGCATCTAAGGGCTGTGATAATGCAATCTGCACTGATGATGCAAACACTCCTTTGTAGTCATGGTCTTCTTCATAATATCCAAACAAATAGGGCACATTAATTCACTGTGTAGACTTCTAGGTGAGACCACAATTTCCAAGCCATCGGTTATTGCCTCCTGGGTGTTTGTTGTGATTCGTAGAAACTGAGTTCCCATGTTTTGCTTAATGGTTGAGTTTCGTTTGTCTGCACAGCCCGAGACATTGCTGCTTGTGGTCCAGCCCGAAGCTCTGAGAGCGAGACTCGAGGATCAACCTCCGGTGTCCCCGCACAGTACAGCAACAAGGAAGTCTTTTTTTTTTTTTTTTTTTTTTTGCTTTCCAGTCGATGGAAGGGGACTTTATTTGGTCCCAGAGTCATGGGCCAGTCATGGCCGCAGCTTTATTGGAGCTTCTTTTTGGGGCGCAGGTTGTTGCTGTGACCGCACTTCTTCTTGCGGCAGTTGACTGCACGGGGGTGCAGGCGTGCATAGCACTTGCGGCAGATCATCTTGTCACAGTTGTACTTCTGGGCAAGCTGACGAAGGGACGGCTCGATGATGCCACCAGGCAGACGAAGCACCTGGTGCAAAGTGGACTGTTTCTGGATGCTGTAGTCCGTCAGGGTTCGGCCATTCTCCAGATGCTTGCCGGCAAATAGCAGCCTCTGCTGGTCAGGTGGGATACCTTCCTTGTCTTGGATCTTGGCCTTGACATTCTCGATGGTGTCACTGGGCTCGACCTCAAGAGTGATGGTCTTGTCCGTCAGGGTCTTCACAAAGATCTGCATGTTGGCGTCAACCCGCTCGGTCGCCGGGTTGAAAAGAAGAATAAGTCTTTAAAGAACAAAACAAAATCCTTTTGGGATAGTTATTGGCGTTAAAGCTGACGACCAGAGGAGCAGAGCAGTAAGACACTGGAGAGACCTTTCCTCTACCAGTGTTCAGACTCCACACACCAGTGAATTCCTGTCTGTTCTTTTTTATATCCTCTCTCCACCCAGCCTGAGGGCTCCTGGCTCCACCTCCCTAGTGCTGGGATTAAAGGTGTGTGAATCCCAAACACTGGGATTAAAGGTGTGAGCCACCACCACCTGGATCTGTTTCTGGATCAATATTGTGTAGCTCAGAGTAGCCTTGAACTCACAGAGCTCTGTCTCACCCTGTCTCCCGAGTCCTAGGATTAAAGGTGTTTGCCACCACTACCTGGTCTCTCATGGATTAATTAGCTTCGCATACTGGTCTTCAGGCAAGCTTTATTTATTAAATTATAAATAAAGTATCACTACAGTAAAGGCCTCAGGCTCACGTTACTTTTCGTTTTTGTTTTTGTTTTTGTTTTTTTTTTTTTTACTTTTTGAGACAGGGTTTCTTTGTGTAGCTCTGAAGCCTGCCTTGGTACTAGCTCTGTAGACCAGGTTGGCCCTGAACTCACAGAGATCCACCTATCTCTGCCCCTCCAGTACTGAGATTCTAAGTGTGTGCCTCCACCACCGGGCAACATTAGTTTTACTTGTCATAGTCCTCGATTATTCCTATGGGCTGTTTCAGGTTGTGACACTCACTTGGTGTGGCTGCTTTTTACAACACACGTGTTTTGGTCTTTGAGAACCTTACACACTGTGCTGAGTTTAGTGAGATTAACCCCTTAGAGTTATGCGTTTGAATCTTTGATCTCCAGTTGTGTGGCCCTGGGCAGATTTAGCTGTGATCTTGCTGGGAGAAGGCACATCACTGGGTAGGATTGGAGGTTTCAAAGCCCTACCATGTTGGCCATTAGAGCCCTGTCCCCCATTCCAGGATCTGGTGTGAGCTCTCAGCTCTTCCTCCTCCATGCTGTATCAGCTCCTGCCATGATGAACTCAGCCCTCTGCACCCATCAGCCCAAATGAACTTCCTTCTGTAAACTGCTTCTGTCTTAGTGCTTTCGCACAGAGGCTACCAGAGTAATATACCTGCCTGGGGAATAGGGGCACATGTGTTCTAAAAGGCCTGTTGATTAGAGAGTAACTCTGTAGGAATTTCAGTTTGTTACCAGGCAGATTGTGCACACAGCTTCCTTGTTGTGGGGTCCCTGCACGGGGCACAGTGGCAGTGAAATGATCTGCAGAGGGGCAGAAGTAAACCTCGGTTCAACATGATTTTCCAGACTGGGTCAAACGTCCAGAGTCTGACACCAATTAGTCTGTGTGATAGTATCTATCTATCTCTATCTGTCTGCCTGGTTGTCTGTCTATCTATCTATCTATCCATCCATCTATCCATCCATCTATCCATCTATCTATCTCTCCATCCATCCATCCATCCATCCATCCATCCATGATTCTTGTTATTTTACATATATAAATAGTAAATTCTTGCGGGGAAAGTTTGCTCATGACAATTATCACAAAAGCTTAAGGCATGGCTACATTGAACTCCCTTAAGTAGTGTGTGTCTTTTGCTGAGCACCTGTGACCTCTTCCACAGGAGGGTTCTGTTGACTGAGGATCAATACTCAGAATAAGAGCCTAGGGAGGAAGGGTTTCTGATAAGCATAAGGATGGGTTCTACTGACTGAAAACAATGCTCAGTAATCTGAGGGATCCTGGGTAAGGGCTGGCTTCCTAGAGTACCATAAGATCATCAGGTAATTTCATGAGTTGGAAAAAGAGTCTTATGTTTGTTTAACAGTTCCGGCTTCTCCGGTGCATTCTGTAACCTTCGTGTTTAACAATTATGGTGCTGGAGAGATTGTTCCGTGGATAGGAACACCGGCAGCTCTTTCAGAGGTCCTGAGTTCAATTCCCAGCAACCACATGGTGGCTCACAATCATATATAATGAGTTCTGGTGCCCTCTAATGTCATGCAGGCCTACACACAGGTAGAACCCTGGATACATGATAAATAAATAAATCAATCTTTTTTCAATTAATAACCACATTGAGAATTTATTTAACACAACCACTAATTTAATATGTTAACAACAAAATCCAAGCAATTACATCACAAAACAAGGAAAATACACAGAAAACATGCATTAATAATCTATACTACTTTTCATACTGGACTCAAGTTAAAACATCAAGCTGGCCCCAATCTGTCAAAACAGACAGATAAATATTTATAATGATGGACAAACTTAGTTACAAAGGTACTTAAATGTCTACTTCCTTCTTTCAAAACCGTTTCTTAAGGGTTAAATTTTTCAATGCAAATGTGTCTTCTGTAAAAACTGTGAGAATGAAACTTGGAGACAAAGAGAGACTCAAGACAGAGATGGAAACTAAGACTTAAGTCAAAATTTGGGTCTGGCTTTAATGATCTTTTAGAAACTAATTTTTTGTGACAGGTAGGGCATTCTTTGTTGCCGCGTCTAAGGGCTGTGATAATGCAATCTGCACTGATGATGCAAACACTCCTTTGTAGTCATGGTCTTCTTCATAATATCCAAACAAATAGGGCACATTAATTCACTGTGTAGACTTCTAGGTGAGACCACAATTTCCAAGCCATCGGTTATTGCCTCCTGGGTGTTTGTTGTGATTCGTAGAAACTGAGTTCCCATGTTTTGCTTAATGGTTGAGTTTCGTTTGTCTGCACAGCCCGAGACATTGCTGCTTGTGGTCCAGCCCGAAGCTCTGAGAGCGAGACTCGAGGATCAACCTCCGGTGTCCCCGCACAGTATAGCAACAAGGAAGTCTTTTTTTTTTTTTTTTTTTTGCTTTCCAGTCGATTGTGTGACCGCACTTCTTCTTGCGGCAGTTGACTGCACGGGGGTGCAGGCGTGCATAGCACTTGCGGCAGATCATCTTGTCACAGTTGTACTTCTGGGCAAGCTGACGAAGGGACGGCTCGATGATGCCACCAGGCAGACGAAGCACCTGGTGCAAAGTGGACTGTTTCTGGATGCTGTAGTCCGTCAGGGTTCGGCCATTCTCCAGATGCTTGCCGGCAAATAGCAGCCTCTGCTGGTCAGGTGGGATACCTTCCTTGTCTTGGATCTTGGCCTTGACATTCTCGATGGTGTCACTGGGCTCGACCTCAAGAGTGATGGTCTTGTCCGTCAGGGTCTTCACAAAGATCTGCATGTTGGCGTCAACCCGCTCGGTCGCCGGGTTGAAAAGAAGAATAAGTCTTTAAAGAACAAAACAAAATCCTTTTGGGATAGTTATTGGCGTTAAAGCTGACGACCAGAGGAGCAGAGCAGTAAGACACTGGAGAGACCTTTCCTCTACCAGTGTTCAGACTCCACACACCAGTGAATTCCTGTCTGTTCTTTTTTATATCCTCTCTCCACCCAGCCTGAGGGCTCCTGGCTCCACCTCCTTAGTGCTGGGATTAAAGGTGTGTGAATCCCAAACACTGGGATTAAAGGTGTGAGCCACCACCACCTGGATCTGTTTCTGGATCAATATTGTGTAGCTCAGAGTAGCCTTGAACTCACAGAGCTCTGTCTTACCCTGTCTCCCGAGTCCTAGGATTAAAGGTGTTTGCCACCACTGCCTGGTCTCTCATGGATTAATTAGCTTCGCATACTGGTCTTCAGGCAAGCTTTATTTATTAAATTATAAATAAAGTATCACTACAGTAAAGGCCTCAGGCTCACGTTATTTTCGTTTTTGTTTTTGTTTTTGTTTTTTTTTTTTTACTTTTTGAGACAGGGTTTCTTTGTGTAGCTCTGAAGCCTGCCTTGGTACTAGCTCTGTAGACCAGGTTGGCCCTGAACTCACAGAGATCCACCTATCTCTGCCCCTCCAGTACTGAGATTCTAAGTGTGTGCCTCCACCACCGGGCAACATTAGTTTTACTTGTCATAGTCCTCGATTATTCCTATGGGCTGTTTCAGGTTGTGACACTCACTTGGTGTGGCTGCTTTTTACAACACACGTGTTTTGGTCTTTGAGAGCCTTACACACTGTGCTGAGTTTAGTGAGATTAACCCCTTAGAGTTATGCGTTTGAATCTTTGATCTCCAGTTGTGTGGCCCTGGGCAGATTTAGCTGTGATCTTGCTGGGAGAAGGCACATCACTGGGTAGGATTGGAGGTTTCAAAGCCCTACCATGTTGGCCATTAGAGCCCTGTCCCCCATTCCAGGATCTGGTGTGAGCTCTCAGCTCTTCCTCCTCCATGCTGTATCAGCTCCCTGCCATGATGAACTCAGCCCTCTGCACCCATCAGCCCAAATGAACTTCCTTCTGTAAACTGCTTCTGTCTTAGTGCTTTCGCACAGAGGCTACCAGAGTAATATACCTGCCTGGGGAATAGGGGCACATGTGTTCTAAAAGGCCTGTTGATTAGAGAGTAACTCTGTAGGAATTTCAGTTTGTTACCAGGCAGATTGTGCACACAGCTTCCTTGTTGTGGGGTCCCTGCACGGGGCACAGTGGCAGTGAAATGATCTGCAGAGGGGCAGAAGTAAACCTCGGTTCAACATGATTTTCCAGACTGGGTCAAACTTCCAGAGTCTGACACCAATTAGTCTGTGTGATAGTATCTATCTATCTCTATCTGTCTGCCTGGTTGTCTGTCTATCTATCTATCTATCTATCCATCCATCCATCTATCCATCTCTCTCCATCCATCCATCCATCCATCCATCCATGATTCTTGTTATTTTACATATATAAATAGTAAATTCTTGCGGGGAAAGTTTGCTCATGACAATTATCACAAAAGCTTAAGGCATGGCTACATTGAACTCCCTTAAGTAGTGTGTGTCTTTTGCTGAGCACCTGTGACCTCTTCCACAGGAGGGTTCTGTTGACTGAGGATCAATGCTCAGAATAAGAGCCTAGGGAGGAAGGGTTTCTGATAAGCATAAGGATAGGTTCTACTGACTGAAAACAATGCTCAGTAATCTGAGGGATCCTGGGTAAGGGCTGGCTTCCTAGAGTACCATAAGATCATCAGGTAATTTCATGAGTTGGAAAAAGAGTCTTATGTTTGTTTAACAGTTCCGGCTTCTCCGGTGCATTCTGTAACCTTCGTGTTTAACAATTATGGGGCTGGAGAGATGGTTCCGTGGATAGGAGCACCGGCAGCTCTTTCAGAGGTCCTGAGTTCAATTCCCAGCAACCACATGGTGGCTCACAATCATATATAATGAGTTCTGGTGCCCTCTAATGTCATGCAGGCCTACACACAGGTAGAACCCTGGATACATGATAAATAAATAAATCAATCTTTTTTCAATTAATAACCACATTGAGAATTTATTTAACACAACCACTAATTTAATATGTTAACAACAAAATCCAAGCAATTACATCACAAAACAAGGAAAATACACAGAAAACATGCATTAATAATCTATACTACTTTTCATACTGGACTCAAGTTAAAACATCAAGCTGGCCCCAATCTGTCAAAACAGACAGATAAATATTTATAATGATGGACAAACTTAGTTACAAAGGTACTTAAATGTCTACTTCCTTCTTTCAAAACCGTTTCTTAAGGGTTAAATTTTTCAATGCAAATGTGTCTTCTGTAAAAACTGTGAGAATGAAACTTGGAGACAAAGAGAGACTCAAGACAGAGATGGAAACTAAGACTTAAGTCAAAATTTGGGTCTGGCTTTAATGATCTTTTAGAAACTAATTTTTTGTGACAGGTAGGGCATTCTTTGTTGCCGCGTCTAAGGGCTGTGATAATGCAATCTGCACTGATGATGCAAACACTCCTTTGTAGTCATGGTCTTCTTCATAATATCCAAACAAATAGGGCACATTAATTCACTGTGTAGACTTCTAGGTGAGACCACAATTTCCAAGCCATCGGTTATTGCCTCCTGGGTGTTTGTTGTGATTCGTAGAAACTGAGTTCCCATGTTTTGCTTAATGGTTGAGTTTCGTTTGTCTGCACAGCCCGAGACATTGCTGCTTGTGGTCCAGCCCGAAGCTCTGAGAGCGAGACTCGAGGATCAACCTCCGGTGTCCCCGCACAGTATAGCAACAAGGAAGTCTTTTTTTTTTTTTTTTTTTTTTTTTTTTGCTTTCCAGTCGATGGAAGGGGACTTTATTTGGTCCCAGAGTCATGGGCCAGTCACGGCCGCAGCTTTATTGGAGCTTCTTTTTGGGGCGCAGGTTGTTGCTGTGACCGCACTTCTTCTTGCGGCAGTTGACTGCACGGGGGTGCAGGCGTGCATAGCACTTGCGGCAGATCATCTTGTCACAGTTGTACTTCTGGGCAAGCTGACGAAGGGACGGCTCGATGATGCCACCAGGCAGACGAAGCACCTGGTGCAAAGTGGACTGTTTCTGGATGCTGTAGTCCGTCAGGGTTCGGCCATTCTCCAGATGCTTGCCGGCAAATAGCAGCCTCTGCTGGTCAGGTGGGATACCTTCCTTGTCTTGGATCTTGGCCTTGACATTCTCGATGGTGTCACTGGGCTCGACCTCAAGAGTGATGGTCTTGTCCGTCAGGGTCTTCACAAAGATCTGCATGTTGGCGTCAACCCGCTCGGTCGCCGGGTTGAAAAGAAGAATAAGTCTTTAAAGAACAAAACAAAATCCTTTTGGGATAGTTATTGGCGTTAAAGCTGACGACCAGAGGAGCAGAGCAGTAAGACACTGGAGAGACCTTTCCTCTACCAGTGTTCAGACTCCACACACCAGTGAATTCCTGTCTGTTCTTTTTTATATCCTCTCTCCACCCAGCCTGAGGGCTCCTGGCTCCACCTCCTTAGTGCTGGGATTAAAGGTGTGTGAATCCCAAACACTGGGATTAAAGGTGTGAGCCACCACCACCTGGATCTGTTTCTGGATCAATATTGTGTAGCTCAGAGTAGCCTTGAACTCACAGAGCTCTGTCTTACCCTGTCTCCCGAGTCCTAGGATTAAAGGTGTTTGCCACCACTGCCTGGTCTCTCATGGATTAATTAGCTTCGCATACTGGTCTTCAGGCAAGCTTTATTTATTAAATTATAAATAAAGTATCACTACAGTAAAGGCCTCAGGCTCACGTTATTTTCGTTTTTGTTTTTGTTTTTTTTTTTTTTTTTTTTTACTTTTTGAGACAGGGTTTCTTTGTGTAGCTCTGAAGCCTGCCTTGGTACTAGCTCTGTAGACCAGGTTGGCCCTGAACTCACAGAGATCCACCTATCTCTGCCCCTCCAGTACTGAGATTCTAAGTGTGTGCCTCCACCACCGGGCAACATTAGTTTTACTTGTCATAGTCCTCGATTATTCCTATGGGCTGTTTCAGGTTGTGACACTCACTTGGTGTGGCTGCTTTTTACAACACACGTGTTTTGGTCTTTGAGAGCCTTACACACTGTGCTGAGTTTAGTGAGATTAACCCCTTAGAGTTATGCGTTTGAATCTTTGATCTCCAGTTGTGTGGCCCTGGGCAGATTCAGCTGTGATCTTGCTGGGAGAAGGCACATCACTGGGTAGGATTGGAGGTTTCAAAGCCCTACCATGTTGGCCATTAGAGCCCTGTCCCCCATTCCAGGATCTGGTGTGAGCTCTCAGCTCTTCCTCCTCCATGCTGTATCAGCTCCCTGCCATGATGAACTCAGCCCTCTGCACCCATCAGCCCAAATGAACTTCCTTCTGTAAACTGCTTCTGTCTTAGTGCTTTCGCACAGAGGCTACCAGAGTAATATACCTGCCTGGGGAATAGGGGCACATGTGTTCTAAAAGGCCTGTTGATTAGAGAGTAACTCTGTAGGAATTTCAGTTTGTTACCAGGCAGATTGTGCACACAGCTTCCTTGTTGTGGGGTCCCTGCACGGGGCACAGTGGCAGTGAAATGATCTGCAGAGGGGCAGAAGTAAACCTCGGTTCAACATGATTTTCCAGACTGGGTCAAACTTCCAGAGTCTGACACCAATTAGTCTGTGTGATAGTATCTCTCTATCTCTATCTGTCTGCCTGGTTGTCTGTCTGTCTATCTATCTATCTATCTATCTATCTATCTATCTATCTATCTATCCATCCATCCATCCATCTATCCATCCATCTATCCATCCATCTATCCATCTATCTCTCCATCCATCCATCCATCCATCCATCCATGATTCTTGTTATTTTACATATATAAATAGTAAATTCTTGCGGGGAAAGTTTGCTCATGACAATTATCACAAAAGCTTAAGGCATGGCTACATTGAACTCCCTTAAGTAGTGTGTGTCTTTTGCTGAGCACCTGTGACCTCTTCCACAGGAGGGTTCTGTTGACTGAGGATCAATGCTCAGAATAAGAGCCTAGGGAGGAAGGGTTTCTGATAAGCATAAGGATGGGTTCTACTGACTGAAAACAATGCTCAGTAATCTGAGGGATCCTGGGTAAGGGCTGGCTTCCTAGAGTACCATAAGATCATCAGGTAATTTCATGAGTTGGAAAAAGAGTCTTATGTTTGTTTAACAGTTCCGGCTTCTCCGGTGCATTCTGTAACCTTCGTGTTTAACAATTATGGTGCTGGAGAGATGGTTCCGTGGATAGGAGCACCGGCAGCTCTTTCAGAGGTCCTGAGTTCAATTCCCAGCAACCACATGGTGGCTCACAATCATATATAATGAGTTCTGGTGCCCTCTAATGTCATGCAGGCCTACACACAGGTAGAACCCTGGATACATGATAAATAAATAAATCAATCTTTTTTCAATTAATAACCACATTGAGAATTTATTTAACACAACCACTAATTTAATATGTTAACAACAAAATCCAAGCAATTACATCACAAAACAAGGAAAATACACAGAAAACATGCATTAATAATCTATACTACTTTTCATACTGGACTCAAGTTAAAACATCAAGCTGGCCCCAATCTGTCAAAACAGACAGATAAATATTTATAATGATGGACAAACTTAGTTACAAAGGTACTTAAATGTCTACTTCCTTCTTTCAAAACCGTTTCTTAAGGGTTAAATTTTTCAATGCAAATGTGTCTTCTGTAAAACTGTGAGAATGAAACTTGGAGACATAGAGAGACTCAAGACAGAGATGGAAACTAAGACTTAAGTCAAAATTTGGGTCTGGCTTTAATGATCTTTTAGAAACTAATTTTTTGTGACAGGTAGGGCATTCTTTGTTGCTGCGTCTAAGGGCTGTGATAATGCAATCTGCACTGATGATGCAAACACTCCTTTGTAGTCATGGTCTTCTTCATAATATCCAAACAAATAGGGCACATTAATTCACTGTGTAGACTTCTAGGTGAGACCACAATTTCCAAGCCATCGGTTATTGCCTCCTGGGTGTTTGTTGTGATTCGTAGAAACTGAGTTCCCATGTTTTGCTTAATGGTTGAGTTTCGTTTGTCTGCACAGCCCGAGACATTGCTGCTTGTGGTCCAGCCCGAAGCTCTGAGAGCGAGACTCGAGGATCAACCTCCGGTGTCCCCGCACAGTATAGCAACAAGGAAGTCTTTTTTTTTTTTTTTTTTTTTTTTTTTTGCTTTCCAGTCGATGGAAGGGGACTTTATTTGGTCCCAGAGTCATGGGCCAGTCACGGCCGCAGCTTTATTGGAGCTTCTTTTTGGGGCGCAGGTTGTTGCTGTGACCGCACTTCTTCTTGCGGCAGTTGACTGCACGGGGGTGCAGGCGTGCATAGCACTTGCGGCAGATCATCTTGTCACAGTTGTACTTCTGGGCAAGCTGACGAAGGGACGGCTCGATGATGCCACCAGGCAGACGAAGCACCTGGTGCAAAGTGGACTGTTTCTGGATGCTGTAGTCCGTCAGGGTTCGGCCATTCTCCAGATGCTTGCCGGCAAATAGCAGCCTCTGCTGGTCAGGTGGGATACCTTCCTTGTCTTGGATCTTGGCCTTGACATTCTCGATGGTGTCACTGGGCTCGACCTCAAGAGTGATGGTCTTGTCCGTCAGGGTCTTCACAAAGATCTGCATGTTGGCGTCAACCCGCTCGGTCGCCGGGTTGAAAAGAAGAATAAGTCTTTAAAGAACAAAACAAAATCCTTTTGGGATAGTTATTGGCGTTAAAGCTGACGACCAGAGGAGCAGAGCAGTAAGACACTGGAGAGACCTTTCCTCTACCAGTGTTCAGACTCCACACACCAGTGAATTCCTGTCTGTTCTTTTTTATATCCTCTCTCCACCCAGCCTGAGGGCTCCTGGCTCCACCTCCTTAGTGCTGGGATTAAAGGTGTGTGAATCCCAAACACTGGGATTAAAGGTGTGAGCCACCACCACCTGGATCTGTTTCTGGATCAATATTGTGTAGCTCAGAGTAGCCTTGAACTCACAGAGCTCTGTCTTACCCTGTCTCCCGAGTCCTAGGATTAAAGGTGTTTGCCACCACTGCCTGGTCTCTCATGGATTAATTAGCTTCGCATACTGGTCTTCAGGCAAGCTTTATTTATTAAATTATAAATAAAGTATCACTACAGTAAAGGCCTCAGGCTCACGTTATTTTCGTTTTTGTTTTTGTTTTTTTTTTTTTTTTTTTTTTACTTTTTGAGACAGGGTTTCTTTGTGTAGCTCTGAAGCCTGCCTTGGTACTAGCTCTGTAGACCAGGTTGGCCCTGAACTCACAGAGATCCACCTATCTCTGCCCCTCCAGTACTGAGATTCTAAGTGTGTGCCTCCACCACCGGGCAACATTAGTTTTACTTGTCATAGTCCTCGATTATTCCTATGGGCTGTTTCAGGTTGTGACACTCACTTGGTGTGGCTGCTTTTTACAACACACGTGTTTTGGTCTTTGAGAGCCTTACACACTGTGCTGAGTTTAGTGAGATTAACCCCTTAGAGTTATGCGTTTGAATCTTTGATCTCCAGTTGTGTGGCCCTGGGCAGATTTAGCTGTGATCTTGCTGGGAGAAGGCACATCACTGGGTAGGATTGGAGGTTTCAAAGCCCTACCATGTTGGCCATTAGAGCCCTGTCCCCCATTCCAGGATCTGGTGTGAGCTCTCAGCTCTTCCTCCTCCATGCTGTATCAGCTCCCTGCCATGATGAACTCAGCCCTCTGCACCCATCAGCCCAAATGAACTTCCTTCTGTAAACTGCTTCTGTCTTAGTGCTTTCGCACAGAGGCTACCAGAGTAATATACCTGCCTGGGGAATAGGGGCACATGTGTTCTAAAAGGCCTGTTGATTAGAGAGTAACTCTGTAGGAATTTCAGTTTGTTACCAGGCAGATTGTGCACACAGCTTCCTTGTTGTGGGGTCCCTGCACGGGGCACAGTGGCAGTGAAATGATCTGCAGAGGGGCAGAAGTAAACCTCGGTTCAACATGATTTTCCAGACTGGGTCAAACTTCCAGAGTCTGACACCAATTAGTCTGTGTGATAGTATCTCTCTATCTCTATCTGTCTGCCTGGTTGTCTGTCTGTCTATCTATCTATCTATCTATCTATCTATCTATCTATCCATCCATCCATCTATCCATCCATCTATCCATCCATCTATCCATCTATCTCTCCATCCATCCATCCATCCATCCATCCATGATTCTTGTTATTTTACATATATAAATAGTAAATTCTTGCGGGGAAAGTTTGCTCATGACAATTATCACAAAAGCTTAAGGCATGGCTACATTGAACTCCCTTAAGTAGTGTGTGTCTTTTGCTGAGCACCTGTGACCTCTTCCACAGGAGGGTTCTGTTGACTGAGGATCAATGCTCAGAATAAGAGCCTAGGGAGGAAGGGTTTCTGATAAGCATAAGGATGGGTTCTACTGACTGAAAACAATGCTCAGTAATCTGAGGGATCCTGGGTAAGGGCTGGCTTCCTAGAGTACCATAAGATCATCAGGTAATTTCATGAGTTGGAAAAAGAGTCTTATGTTTGTTTAACAGTTCCGGCTTCTCCGGTGCATTCTGTAACCTTCGTGTTTAACAATTATGGTGCTGGAGAGATGGTTCCGTGGATAGGAGCACCGGCAGCTCTTTCAGAGGTCCTGAGTTCAATTCCCAGCAACCACATGGTGGCTCACAATCATATATAATGAGTTCTGGTGCCCTCTAATGTCATGCAGGCCTACACACAGGTAGAACCCTGGATACATGATAAATAAATAAATCAATCTTTTTTCAATTAATAACCACATTGAGAATTTATTTAACACAACCACTAATTTAATATGTTAACAACAAAATCCAAGCAATTACATCACAAAACAAGGAAAATACACAGAAAACATGCATTAATAATCTATACTACTTTCCATACTGGACTCAAGTTAAAACATCAAGCTGGCCCCAATCTGTCAAAACAGACAGATAAATATTTATAATGATGGACAAACTTAGTTACAAAGGTACTTAAATGTCTACTTCCTTCTTTCAAAACCGTTTCTTAAGGGTTAAATTTTTCAATGCAAATGTGTCTTCTGTAAAAATTGTGAGAATGAAACTTGGAGACATAGAGAGACTCAAGACAGAGATGGAAACTAAGACTTAAGTCAAAATTTGGGTCTGGCTTTAATGATCTTTTAGAAACTAATTTTTTGTGACAGGTAGGGCATTCTTTGTTGCCGCGTCTAAGGGCTGTGATAATGCAATCTGCACTGATGATGCAAACACTCCTTTGTAGTCATGGTCTTCTTCATAATATCCAAACAAATAGGGCACATTAATTCATTGTGTAGACTTCTAGGTGAGACCACAATTTCCAAGCCATCGGTTATTGCCTCCTGGGTGTTTGTTGTGATTCGTAGAAACTGAGTTCCCATGTTTTGCTTAATGGTTGAGTTTCGTTTGTCTGCACAGCCCGAGACATTGCTGCTTGTGGTCCAGCCCGAAGCTCTGAGAGCGAGACTCGAGGATCAACCTCCGGTGTCCCCGCACAGTATAGCAACAAGGAAGTCTTTTTTTTTTTTTTTTTTTTTTTTTTTGCTTTCCAGTCGATGGAAGGGGACTTTATTTGGTCCCAGAGTCATGGGCCAGTCACGGCCGCAGCTTTATTGGAGCTTCTTTTTGGGGCGCAGGTTGTTGCTGTGACCGCACTTCTTCTTGCGGCAGTTGACTGCACGGGGGTGCAGGCGTGCATAGCACTTGCGGCAGATCATCTTGTCACAGTTGTACTTCTGGGCAAGCTGACGAAGGGACGGCTCGATGATGCCACCAGGCAGACGAAGCACCTGGTGCAAAGTGGACTGTTTCTGGATGCTGTAGTCCGTCAGGGTTCGGCCATTCTCCAGATGCTTGCCGGCAAATAGCAGCCTCTGCTGGTCAGGTGGGATACCTTCCTTGTCTTGGATCTTGGCCTTGACATTCTCGATGGTGTCACTGGGCTCGACCTCAAGAGTGATGGTCTTGTCCGTCAGGGTCTTCACAAAGATCTGCATGTTGGCGTCAACCCGCTCGGTCGCCGGGTTGAAAAGAAGAATAAGTCTTTAAAGAACAAAACAAAATCCTTTTGGGATAGTTATTGGCGTTAAAGCTGACGACCAGAGGAGCAGAGCAGTAAGACACTGGAGAGACCTTTCCTCTACCAGTGTTCAGACTCCACACACCAGTGAATTCCTGTCTGTTCTTTTTTATATCCTCTCTCCACCCAGCCTGAGGGCTCCTGGCTCCACCTCCTTAGTGCTGGGATTAAAGGTGTGTGAATCCCAAACACTGGGATTAAAGGTGTGAGCCACCACCACCTGGATCTGTTTCTGGATCAATATTGTGTAGCTCAGAGTAGCCTTGAACTCACAGAGCTCTGTCTTACCCTGTCTCCCGAGTCCTAGGATTAAAGGTGTTTGCCACCACTGCCTGGTCTCTCATGGATTAATTAGCTTCGCATACTGGTCTTCAGGCAAGCTTTATTTATTAAATTATAAATAAAGTATCACTACAGTAAAGGCCTCAGGCTCACGTTATTTTCGTTTTTGTTTTTGTTTTTTTTTTTTTTTTTTTACTTTTTGAGACAGGGTTTCTTTGTGTAGCTCTGAAGCCTGCCTTGGTACTAGCTCTGTAGACCAGGTTGGCCCTGAACTCACAGAGATCCACCTATCTCTGCCCCTCCAGTACTGAGATTCTAAGTGTGTGCCTCCACCACCGGGCAACATTAGTTTTACTTGTCATAGTCCTCGATTATTCCTATGGGCTGTTTCAGGTTGTGACACTCACTTGGTGTGGCTGCTTTTTACAACACACGTGTTTTGGTCTTTGAGAGCCTTACACACTGTGCTGAGTTTAGTGAGATTAACCCCTTAGAGTTATGCGTTTGAATCTTTGATCTCCAGTTGTGTGGCCCTGGGCAGATTCAGCTGTGATCTTGCTGGGAGAAGGCACATCACTGGGTAGGATTGGAGGTTTCAAAGCCCTACCATGTTGGCCATTAGAGCCCTGTCCCCTGATGGAGGAAGGTCATTGGCTAATAAAGGCACTGCCCTGGCCCATTTTATTGGTTAGAGGATAGGTGGGAGGAGTAAACAGAACAAAATGCTGGGAGGAACAGGAAGTGAGCTCAGAGACTCGAAAGCTCTCCTCTCAGCAACAGACGCCTGAGAGAGACGCCATGCCCCGCTCCCGGGATGAAGCTCCAACCCAGGATGGACATAGGCTAGAATCTTCCCGGTAAGCGCACCTTGGGGTGCCACACACAGATGATTAGAATGGGCTAAATTAATATGTGAGAATTAGCCTAGAAGAGAAGGGCCAGGCAGTGTTTGGAGGAATACAGTGTCCGTGTAATTATTTCGGGGCATAAGCTAACCAAGCAGGCAGCCGGGGTGCTGGGGACGCAGCCCCGCTGCCCTTACTACTTCATATGGCGCCCACGTGGACAACTGCTTCCACATAAAACCTGAGACAGCTTGGGAAGTAATTCTAGAACAAAATGAAAGCATTGTGCCTGGTTTCTTGGTAGCAGCAATTTCTCGGGTCTGCTCTGCTTGCTAGAGGCAAGCAAGCGCCTTATCTGAGAAAAGCTTCCTGACTCAGCTTTAGCTGCAAAACCCTGCAGCTCATTAAGAGGTCCTGCCACGAAACACTTAAATGGTGTTGACGAAAAGCTTTTTGGTTCTCAGCCATAGCAGGAAAAAAGCTGCGCCGTTTAAAAATGCCGGCTTTCTGGGCTGTCCTGCCAGGGCAAACTCTGACACTTTTACGCAGGCGGTTTGTGCGGTTTGCAAGCATAGGCTGCTGAAGCTCGCTTGCTGGCTACAGCCAGTACCTCAGCCATGAGGCTGAAAAGCTAAGGAATGGGCTGGATCCAGTCGGCAAAGCCACGCCTTTAATCCTACTGATATTGCTTGGTAAATTAAAGACTCCTGTGGTCAGAAAAAGAGAGATATACAGTAAAGAGAGATTCAAAGACAAAGAAAATTTCTAAATGGTTTGAAGTGTGTTAAAAATATATGCAGACTAAAAGTTGAAGTTCGTAAAGTAAAAAACAAAAAAAGGAAGAGAGTTGTTGTGTGTGGTAGCACACGCCTTTAATCCCAGTGCCTAGAAGGCAGAGACAAACAGATCTCTGTGAGTTCAAGGTGTAGTAGTATACACCTTTAGTCCCAAATGCCTGGGAGGCAGAGACAGGCAGATCTCTGAGAGTTCAAAGACAGCCTGGTTTACAGAGTTACTTCAGGTCAAAGATACAGAGAACGTGTCTCAAAAAGCAAAGAGTTAAAAGTAAAAATAAACAAAATAGAGGTTAAAACAAAGCTGCACAAAGATGGAAAATACACAGAGAATCTTGATACTGTATGCTATTATGCTCTCTTTGAATTGTTTGAATGCTGAGGAAGGAGCAACAGCTGCTAAAAGATATTTATTTATAAATGCTGCTGAACTAATCCAACATAGATATTTTGAATATGGATCTAAGGATATGATACTTTGGAAAGGAGATTCTTATTTTGTTTTCACAGAGGATGAGACGCTGTTCATTTCTTCTATTCCGATTTGGTATGATGGACCACGCCCTCCTGAAGGGTTGGTGTGAACGCCTTCAAAAAATTGCTTCGCTCAACTGCCAACTGAGATGAAACTAGCACACAGGTTATACCATGAAAGACCTAATTAACGACGCCCCCATTCAGCAGGAAGCAGTTTGGAGAGAAATAACTGCGCCCATATTCCCAAAAAATGTTTATAAATGTTCTTTTACATTTAAAGGGGGATATGATATAGATATGAATAATTTACATTAGTATAGATTTTGCTTTATTGATAGAGATTTAAGGTCGATTTTGTTATATGTATAAGTGTTTCTGATTTTGATTAAGGTATTGTGATTGTGTAGTTCATTTAAATATGTACTATATAATTAAGAAATATAGGTTGTTAATGGAGAATCATCGATAATAGTAAAGCTTGTAGTCATGTTAGTTAGATTTTCTAGATATATAGAGATATATTTTAGATAGACATTCTTCATGTCTTTCAAAGATTACAGAATAGGACATTTGATGTTTTAATAACTGAGGACTTTTCATGACAATGAGACACTCTGCTCCTGGCAGCACCAATCTACTTCAAGAGGAAGATGGGCATCGAAGAGGCACCTGATGGAGTTTGATAGCCATTTGGGCAAGAAACTGCTCTTGCCTGGACTATTGCATAAACTGGACACAGAGAACCCGCAGAGAGAGGACTACTGAACTTGCCTAAGGTGAGATGATCTTTCGGGGTTCCTGATTCATTTTGAAAGAGTCTGCGAGACATTCTGCAGGACACAACAGATAGTGACTGAACTGACTTTGAATTTTCCTGCTTTATGGAAATGTCTGCTGGATACCATGGGCCTGAAGGCTGAAGATGGATGCCCCAACGGTACAAAAGAACTTTGGGTGACTGTCCAGGCAGCGAGATGTCTTTGTCATTTCTAGAGTTTGAAGTTTCTTAGTTCTTGTTTACTTAGGTAATATTATATCTTTCTGGAGTCTTTGATGGAGTTAAGAATAGTTAGTTATAGTTATAGTTTTCCTTAGTTATGATAAAGATTATTGTAACTTTTACTTGATAACTGTTTTGTTATATGTAATTTTGCTATGTTAAAGTTAAAGCTTTTTTTTTGTTTAAACCGAAAAAGGGGAAATGATGGAGGAAGGTCATTGGCTAATAAAGGCACTGCCCTGGCCCATTTTATTGGTTAGAGGATAGGTGGGAGGAGTAAACAGAACAAAATGCTGGGAGGAACAGGAAGTGAGCTCAGAGACTCGAAAGCTCTCCTCTCAGCAACAGACGCCTGAGAGAGACGCCATGCCCCGCTCCCGGGATGAAGCTCCAACCCAGGATGGACATAGGCTAGAATCTTCCCGGTAAGCGCACCTTGGGGTGCCACACACAGATGATTAGAATGGGCTAAATTAATATGTGAGAATTAGCCTAGAAGAGAAGGGCCAGGCAGTGTTTGGAGGAATACAGTGTCCGTGTAATTATTTCGGGGCATAAGCTAACCAAGCAGGCAGCCGGGGTGCTGGGGACGCAGCCCCGCTGCCCTTACTACTTCAGTCCCCCATTCCAGGATCTGGTGTGAGCTCTCAGCTCTTCCTCCTCCATGCTGTATCAGCTCCCTGCCATGATGAACTCAGCCCTCTGCACCCATCAGCCCAAATGAACTTCCTTCTGTAAACTGCTTCTGTCTTAGTGCTTTCGCACAGAGGCTACCAGAGTAATATACCTGCCTGGGGAATAGGGGCACATGTGTTCTAAAAGGCCTGTTGATTAGAGAGTAACTCTGTAGGAATTTCAGTTTGTTACCAGGCAGATTGTGCACACAGCTTCCTTGTTGTGGGGTCCCTGCACGGGGCACAGTGGCAGTGAAATGATCTGCAGAGGGGCAGAAGTAAACCTCGGTTCAACATGATTTTCCAGACTGGGTCAAACTTCCAGAGTCTGACACCAATTAATCTGTGTGTCAGTCTATCTCTCTATGTCTCTATGTCTCTATGTCTCTATGTCTCTATCTATCTATCTATCTATCTATCTTCCTACCTACCTATCTCTATCTGTTTTTCTGTCTATTTATCTATCTATCAATCTTTCCATCCATCCATCCATCCATCCATCCATCCATCCATTCATCCATCCATGATTTTTTTTTTTTTTTATTTTCGAGACAGGGTTTCTCTGTAGCTTTTTGGTTCCTGTCCTGGAACTAGCTCTTGTATACCAGGCTGGCCTCGAACTCACAAAGATCCGCCTGCCTCTGCCTCCCGAGTGCTGGGATTAAAGGCGTGCGCCACCACCGTCCGGCTCCATCCATGATTTTTGTTATTTTACATATATAAATAGTAAATTCTTTGGGGGAAAGTTTGTTCATGACAATTATTAGCACAAAGCTTAAGGCATGGCTACATTGAACTCCCTTAAGTAGTGTGTGTTGTTTGCTGAGCACCTGTGACCTCTTCCACAGGAGGGTTCTGTTGACTGAGGATCAATGCT